CCTTGTTTGCGCCGCCCGGTTGGGCTGCGGGCGTGTGACGGGGGGACGAGGGCGAAGCGAACGGCGCCGCTTCTGCCGCTGGCCGGGGCGGGACGGGTGCTTCGCCGTGCGGGCGTGCCCAGGGTGAGGCGGATTCCCGGCGGCTGCCGCGGCCACCCCCGGCGCTGGTGTGGGCCAGCACCTCCAGTGTCTGGAACTGCATGTAAAGGTCAGTTAGGGCTTGTGAGCATTTAATTGCACGGGGCGTAGGAGTAAATGTACGTGAGAGGGCAGCGCGGAGGTAAGGTAGGAAGGGTGCTGGCTGGCAGGGCAGCAGGGGACAAAATGTAAGTGCAAAGCGAGGTGTTACTTACTAGAAGTGGGGGAGAGCTACTTTCCACTTCTTACCGGAAATTAGTACATGCGGGATTATTATCAGTGCATTTAGGAAAATAAAATTTAGTAGGCTGATAATTTGCTTGCCTATTGATTACTTTTTGACAGCGGACATCCCCATTTTCTTGTTTTCCGGAGTTCTGAACGTCTTAAAAATAGTGTACTGACTTCCATTTGTGACTCTGGGGTGACCTCTTGCACTTGAAAGGAACAGCATGTTCTGTAGAACCTGTTCCTTTGCAGTACGTGTAGGTCTCTAAGCTCTTGAAAATGAAAACAAAACAAATGTAAAAAGAAATCACATGCAGATTATGTGTGTTTCCATTGGTTGTTCTTACAAGCTTTTTTCACAGCTTTTTTTTTTTTTTAGCACGGATGTTTAAATTTCTTTGCTACCAGGCTTATGTAGTACTATGTTATTTTTTTATTCTTTCTACTCAGGGATGGTATATCTATTTTGAGTTCTTTTATGATTTTACTTTATATCTACTTTAATTTAGTACGGGTTTTGGAGGGTTTTGAAGGTTTTTGACACATGTCAAGAGCAAAGTTCTGTAGCTCTCCCAATGGTGTACATTAACGTTTTTACCTTGGGCTACAGGAGTGTTAAGTTCCCTGCCTGACCTCTCCAGACAATAGTTTATCACTTCAGGCCACACACAAAGGCTCTTAAAAATGGCTGGATTTTTTGGCAGTCAACCTTTGGACAGCCCTCTTTAACTTAATAAGCGGTGTTTCTTTTGATAACATTGAAGGATAACATAGCTATGTTGCCAGAGACTGGCATTATCATTTTACCCTAAGCTGTTTCTCTAGCACTTCCTGGGTTTGGGTTTTCTTGTTGGTAGTTGGAACACTAATTTATATCCCAGGTGAGGTTGCAATTTGAAAATGTCATGAAAGCCCAAACTAAAATCTTTAACTTCTGAATGAAAACAGGAAGTTCTTGGCATAAAAGATCACTGCCATCTCTTGGTAAAAGGGTTTGTTTCTGGCTGTATTCTTAGTTTGATCTGATTTTATTTAGTGGTTACTTCTGCGTTGTGTACCTTACCTTTCCTCACTCAGTTTTAGAAAATTTTGCTATGATTTTCAGTGTTCTCTCGCAAAAGCGAAGGGGTTTTTTAGATGTAATAATTTGAAACAAAATTCTTTCTGATTTACATTTAAGTTCAGGATTGTTCACAAGAGCATTTTGTTGATGTTGGTCTCTGTTGGTCCACAAAAATTTCATTTGATGTTTTGTATCTTCATTGTGCATATGGTCTACAAGTAGTAATTGTATATGTTATTTCATAAATTCTTTCAAGATGTTCAGTGTTGTGTCTTTGTTGGCTAAGTGGTTGTTGCAGACAAGTCATGACAAATTAAAAGGTGATTAAACAAGGGCAGCAATTTCTCATTTGCTTTTCTTTGGAGTGTTGAACACAGATGTCTGACAGTTTCTTATAAAAATAACACAAGTCTAGAGTACAGTAAAATTATATGGTTTTTAAAACACTATTAATTGCTTCACAAATTGCATCTGTCCCTTGACAGTGCTTGATTGCAAAAGGGTAGGTATAGTTTGTAGAATGAATATTAGAAGTGGTGCTTAGTCCTTAAAGACAGACTTTTGGAATGGTTGTGATAGAGAACAGAAACTCTTTTAATTTCTGTGATATTGCGTCTTCGGTTTAATGAATGCATTACAGACCACGATTCCGAATTTGCTGTGTGTATGTGCTTTATAATTGCTGGTGCATGTAGTCTGATACAGAGAATGTGTAAATAGCACTGAATAAAACAGACACTCTGCAGATAATAAAAAAAAGCACAACACACAAGCCAACAACTTTTATTATGAGTTGGAATGATACCTTGGGTAAATTATAATTTAAGTAGCTTGGAAGTTGTGTATTTCTGATTACTGGAGAGCAAGGATTGTAAAATATGTGTTCAAATAGAATATGCCTATGGTAATTATTAAGAAGTTATGTACTAATAGGCCTAAATTTGAGTATAAAGCAGCATGAGTTGTTAACGTGTAGCACTAAATAGCTTGTGGCTTCTCTACAAATCTGAGAGCCAAAGCTTGTATATAAGTTCTGGCAGGAACCACTTGTAGGGCCAAAGTGTCTGGGAGAGCCAATAATATGCCAGTTACTTGCAGAGAAAGCATCACTTCAGAATAGCTGGGCACTGTTGTGAATCATTTCAGAATAGACTTGGAAGCATACGATTTTATTTCCGTGGTTCTTGATGTGCTCATTATGGCTTGTGTAATCAGGTTGGAAATAGGGTATAGACTATTAGAAATGCAACACTGAAGATTTTTTTTTATTGGTGAATGATAAATTTCTACCTCTGATATTTGACTATGTGTGTGGAGGTAAACAGTGGGTTTTTTTCTCTTTAATCAGATCACCCAGAAGACACAATGAGTGTTAAAGCTTTCAAGCTCGTTTCTGCTGTTGAGCGGGAGATGTTAATGGGAGACAAAAATTACATCAACATTGAATGCATTGAGTGTTGTGGAAAGAACCTCTATATTGGAACCAATGACTGCTTTATCTATCACTTTCTCTTGGATGAAAAGATATCAACAGCTGGAAAAATAACTTTTGCTGCCACCAAGCAACTGCATAAGTACCTGGGCTTGAAGAAGCCTGTGAGTGAGTTGAAAGCAGCCTCTGCCCTCACTAGGCTTCTTGTGCTTTGTGACAACACGATAACACTAGTTAACATGATGAACTTGGAACCTGTCCCCACTGGTGCTAGAATCAAAGGAGCTGTGACATTCGCATTAAATGAAAACCCTGTGAGTGGGGATCCTTTCTGTGTCGAAGTCTGCATTATCTCAGTCAAGCGGCGGACCATTCAAATGTTCATGGTGTTTGAAGACAGAGTCCAGATAGTTAAAGAAGTGTTTACTCCAGAGCAACCTTGTGCTGTGGCTGTAGATGGTTATTACTTATGTCTTGCACTTACTACACAATATATAATTTTGAACTATAATACTGGCGCCTCCCAGGATCTGTTTCCTTATTGCAGTGATGAAAAACGGCCAATTGTGAAAAGGATAGGCAGACAAGAGTTTCTGTTGGCTGGCCCCGGAGGCCTAGGTGAGACCAAGGATTGTTATTTTTTTTGCAATTTTTTTAACTTCTCTGTTTTAATTTCTCTCAATTTGGGAAGTAAAGCTTAACTAGTTAAGTGTTGCGCATGATAATAATAATTTTCTTCACAGGACTGTACTGGAATGTTGACGTAAAAAGGTAAATGGTAAATTTTTGGTACTAAGTATTACTATAACTCTCCTGCACTTTTTTTAGTGCCCAAAAATCTGATTATTTATATTTTAGTCCTGTCTGTAGAAAGCTTCATTCTGCAGCAGTAGTATCTTGCAGCCCAGAGTAGAAACATTGGTTGGTACCAAGTGAAACATC